CTGGAGTGATTCCTGTGTGTGTGTTCTAGTAGTTTCACCTCTTCAGGTCTCAGAGCTGAGTCTACATGATGTGCCCTCAGGTGTTCTTTAGGGGCACCCTTCTCTACCTTCAGTGCAGGGGATTTGCCCCCAGCCCTGTCAATCCATAAACTTTAAATCCCACATGCCACGTGCTGGGGTCAGGAAGGGGCATGTGACCAGGGAGGCTAGTCAAGTGCAGTCCTGCGCTAGACTGCCAGGAGAGGTGTTTTTTTTCTTTCTTTCTTTATTTTTTGTGGGGGTGGAGGAGCTATTGGGGATTGAACTCAGGGGTGCTCAACTACAGAGCCACATCCCCAGCCCTGTTTTATATTTAATTTAGAGACAAGGTCTCACTGAGTTGCTAAGTGCCTCGCTTTTGCTGAGGCTGGCTTTGAACTCGTGATTACAGGCGAGCGCACCGCACCCAGTGAGAGGTGTTTTCTTTTGATAGGAAGCTGTTGCCCTTTCATCTCTTGTGTTTCTGGACTAGAAACAACCCCTGCACAGTTTAAAAGAGAAAGGGAGAGACCCTGAACCCCTAGACCCAGCCATACCTGAAGCTAGTTATTTCTGTTGTTTGTGATCACCAGTCCGCTTCAGGAAGAGTTAGCTAGTGAATGGAGTTTTCTATTACTTGTCCTGGTACTGCCCAAGAATTCCTCCTATACCACCATGCAAAGTTCAGATTGTCCAGCCCTCACTCTCTTACAGAATCCTGGTCTACATAATTGATGTATAATTCCACTATTATTGACTAAGGTACAGTCCCACTGTTGTTCATGTGACTACCTCTGAAGGGCAGGGCAGGTTCTGGCTGAAGCACAGACATGGCCTCCACACAACACCTGGCCTGCAGCAGGGTCTTAGCAAGTTGGAACTGCACAGTGACATCCAGAGAGTGGGGCCTCCACATCCCTCTCTGGACTCCCAAAGCCCAACAGGGGTGAGCCAGGCACAGGGAACATGAGGTGGGGTGGGGGGGCATGCACAGCACAGCAGCCTGACACTCCTGTCCCAGCCTTCAGAGGCTGGAGCAAGGAATCCATCCCCCTGCCCCCAGCTCCAATCTCATCAGCCAGAGGACTGTTGAGGGCGAAATGAAATGGCTCCACCACCTGGCACACAGGAACTGTTCCCTACATGGGGACAGTGCGACTGGACTGAGGAGCCCTTCCAGTGGCCTCAGGGGCATGCCCAAAGTCAGGGCCTCCACACACAAGAGGCAGGAACAGAGCTGTCAGAGACCCTTTATTCAGTCCTGGGGGGCCTCGAAGGAAGGCGGGAGTGACTGAGTGCCAGGCCTTCAGCTGCGGGGCAGCTGCGGGCTGATCAGGCGGGGCTGGTAGGCGCCAGGGGCCAGCAGCTGCAGGGTGAAATCGGTGACGACAGCTGTAAGCCCCCAGATTCGATGTGGTCCATGGAGGAAGACGGGCAGTGTGTAACGGAAGTGGCCATCCTGGCAGAAGTGGGTATAGCCCTGATTCTGTGTCTGCAGCAGGTGTGCCAGGGGCAGCTCAAACACCTCATCTACCTGTGAGCGGGAGGCAGAGAGAGGGTGGAGGGAGGGCTGGTCGCTGCAGCCTCCCCCAGGGAATAGCCCAGCCCCCGAGTCCCCCATTCACCTCCTCAGGGTTGGGCTTGAGGCTCTGCAGGTCCAGTGGGCCCACACTGGCAAGCACCGGCACCACTGTGGCCTTTCTCTGGGATGGGAGAAGGATAGGCGTCAGGGGAGGCATGGCCTGGGTGGGGCTCTGGGATCGGGAGCTGAGTCAGGGAGGAGGATCTGTCTTGCCATCCAGAGGCCTTTGGTGGGCATGGCCAGGTGGGCATACCCTATCCTGACTGCTGACTGTCTCGGGGCCCCAAGTGCACTAGGCCTAGTTGTGCCTTGGCAGACTGCTTCCCCACCCCCATATAGTCCACCTGCCACCTTTATAACCTTAAATCTCAAATCTCCCACTTGTCACTCAGGCCCAGCTCAGTCCCCGCCCATCCTGTGAAGCCTCCCCCCAACCCATTCCAAGCTGTTCCTTCACCTGGGGCCCCAAGGGTTGTGTGGGGATGGAATGGTGACTCCCAGGCAGTTGCTGGCTTACTACTCCACACCCTACTCCTGCAGGAAGCTGTGACCCTGGGATTCTGGCTCCCTGTCCAGGGTGGGCACAGAGTGGGTGATAGGGTGAGGGTAACCTCGGGCCTGATGGCTCACCGTGTCGTGCACAGGCTGTAGGATGCCCCACACGTGCTCCTCGGCCACAGCCAGGCCCAGTTCCTCCTGGGTTTCCCGCAAGGCTGTGTGTACCACATCCTGGTCAGCAGGGTCACACTTGCCGCCTGGGAAACTGATAGGCACAGGGAGTCTGGTTCTTATGTTCTGGGGGCCATGGAAGGGTGGGGGAGTGGGCCGTGACATAAGGCTAGTAGCCCACCTAGACATCTTCCTCTGTCCCTAGCCACATGACCTGGAGAAGCCAGTTTACCTCCCTGATCAATATAGGTAAGGGAGAGAGCCCCGGCAGTTAGGATAGGGTATGAGGGTCTGCCATCAGGGGCGATTAGATCCTGGGGCTCAGGCACAGAATTCTGCCTGTGGTGACCTCAGGGTGTCCTTAATTCCCCCCGGGGCGCGGAGCCAAGGCCGGAGGCTGGGCAGCCTCGCTCCTGGGCTCTGGGACTCTCTACAGCCGCCGGCAGGGGGCAGAGTCCTGCCTTTTTAGAGATGGGAAGCAGCGTCCCGGCGGACGTGGTGCGCCGTTGCAGGGGACAAGGGTCGCTCAGTCCTCGCCGAGGCTGTGGGCAAACCGTTTCTCCCGGACCCATTTTACAGAAGCCGAAAACGAGGCTGAGAGAGGCTGAGTGCCTTGCCCAAGGTCCCTGCCGTCTCCGGGACTCCTCGGCCTCCGGCAGCCGGGAGGAGCTCCCGGCCAGTGTACCTGACGTCCCCCTGGTGCCGGCCTGTCAGGCGACTGGAGCGCAGCGTGTAGAGCAGCGAAGGGACCCCGCGCACAAGGCACAGCGGGACGAGCACCGCGGCCGCCGCGGGCCGCGCGCGGAACCGAGCAGTGGTCCTCGCCAGCAGCTGCCTGCAGCGCCGCTCGCCCTCCGCGGACAGGCAGTCAGGCTGCATGTCCCAGCTCCGCGAACTTACGGCGCCCGCCTACCGGGCGAGGGGCGGGCAGGCCCTGAGCGGGCCCGGGGAGTGTCGGCCCTAAGGCTCCCGAAGGGTGGGGCTACGGTGCTGCAGGGGCGGGGCCTGCAAGGGGGAGGGGCCCCAGTGGAAAGAGGCGGGCCCCAAACCCGAGGGCGGAGGGGCGGGGCCTGCGGAGGGCCACCACCCGACGTTACTGCGAGGACGACGGGGCGGAGCCTGGGAAGCAAACAGGGGCGTGGCTGGTGGGGGGGCGGCGCCTGGGCAGAAGTTCTTTACTGCAGGACGGGGCGAGGCCTCAGGCAGGGGCCATTGCCTCCAGATGGGGCGTGACCGGAAGGGCGTGGTTAAGTGGCGGGGCTTCCGGGTGGGGCGGGCGTGGGCGTGGTCTGCTGAGAAGGCGCCCGGGTAGCGCAGGAGTGTGCTCCAGACCCATTGGAGCTGACGCAGCTCTTACTACCTCGGGGGTCAGGGGGTTTGGAGTCGGGTCCAGTGTCCTTCGCCCCAGCGGTGTCCATATCTCCCTTGAAGGCTCATAGAGCTCCAGGACTGCAGATGAGTCAGGGGCCCTTGTGTAGCTCACCCTGTTCCCACTCTTGTCCTGCTCTCTGTTCCATCAGACTGGACTTCAGCTCCAAGATGCCAAGGGTCTTATCCCTCCCTTCCTGTCTTGAGTCTTGATTGATCACCAGATCGCTACCCCCATCCCTACAGGGCCTCTATGGCCACTGCCTATCGTGGTTCTGCACCCCTCACCAGACCTCAGTCCCTCGAGGACCAGGCCATACCAGCCTTGCACACAGTCTTTAAATGTGGGATGGCAGATGTTGGCAATGTTTGCTGTGTAACTCTGAGCAGGTCCATTGCCTCTCTGAGCCACAGTTTTGGTTCTCCTCTGGGCATAAAGCAGGGAGTAGGACCCTAGGCCCTCTTCACAGGGCTAAGTGCAGTTCTTCTGTGACTCGATGGTGTCCCCACCTTTACCATCACTGCACTCCCAGGAATGTGGAAGCCACTGGACTGAGCTTTGGGATGCCTACAGACCTACAGAGCTGATATGGGGGCTGTCATGCCTGGTAGTTCCTGAGTCCCTCCACCTTGATCCTTGAGGTCACAAGTGCTGTACCCATGCCAAATAGTTTAATGGTTTAATGGTGGAGGAAGAGAGAGGTGAGAGAAGAGTTTGGGGGAATCACCCCCAAGGCTGAAGGGGTCAAGATTCTAGATTGCTGGGGTGGGAAGGAGGAAGACTGGTTCCAAGCCTGGCAGGTCCCAGCCTGGCTGTGACAGGGCTTCCAGCCACCCTGCTCTCTGTGGAGAGGGGCCTCTGCACAGGAGGGGCTGCAGGGGGTAGGGTGGAGACGCTCTCACATGGGTGAGGGTCCAGGGTAGAAGGGCTTTTGCCATCACTGAGAGTCCTGGCCAGGTCCCAGGTGTGCAGTGACTGGGGACAGCAGCCCCAGCCCAGCTGGGAGGGTCAGGGTGCCCTGATCTCCATTAGCCCGGATGTTGGGGAGAGGGTATGGTGCTGGTCGGGTCCTTGAAATCCCAAGATGGCTTGGGGCTCCAGGGTACAGGCCCTGGTAAGTGAGGGGCCTATAGGTGGCCGGGGCCAGCAGGGCTTCAGGAGAGGGCAGCAACTGATGGTGGAGCCGGACATGGGTCCTGGAGGTGGAGGCTGAAGCTTTGTTGGGGTCTGAGGGAGCAAAATGGTGTGAGCGGATCCCAGGCCTCCCCTTACACTCTCAGTCCTCATCCACGCCCGCCCTCTCCTCCTTCCTGCCTGCCTTGGCCTATCTCGGCCTCTGCCCTTGCTTTCTTTTCTGCCTGAAATTTCTTCCCCACTCCTCCCACCCAGGACTGTCCAAATCTTTCCCAGTCCTGGCTTGAGAACCACCTCCTCCAGGAAGCCTGCCTGGCACCCCCTGCCTCTGCTCTTGCACCGTGTCCCCCAGCCTGTTCTCCCTGCCCTGCACCTCATGTCATCTTAGAAACTTAGCCTCCCCCTTGGTGTCACACAGGGGCCCAGTAGATTTGCTGAGCAAGTCCCTTCCTGGAGACCCTGTGGCCTGCCCCCATGCAGACCTTAGTCCCTGCCCTCTGCTCTGTGACTGCAGGCCTCACCTTTCTCCTGCTCTGTGGCGCCTGCCAGCAGGCAGGGACTGAGGCTGCTGCGACTCCGGGCTGGGGTACTGAGCAGGGGCCCTGGGGCCACAGGCCTGAAGAAGGGGCAAGCAGGAATGGGGACCGGAGTTGAGGGACCCAGGCCTGGGACCCTGGCACCCGGGGAGGCCCCAGGAGATGCCTGGAGCGGAGGGGAGGGGGCGGGGCCGTGAGTGGGTGGCAGAGGCCAGACAGTACCAGGAGTCCGGGTCACTCTCTCGAAAGCCCTTGGCGAAAGGGTTGCTGGCGATCTTCAGCTGGGTGATCTGCGGAGGAGAAGGTTCAGTCAGGGGCTGCCCGGGCTGTGGGGCCCAGGCCCCGTCACCCCGCCCTCCAGGGACCCCAGTCCGGAGGCCCGCAGGTCCCAGGCCCTTTGGCCCGGGAACTCGGGAGCCAGGGGACATGAGGCAGGGGGATTTCTGGGGTGGACGCCTGCGGACGAAGGGCGGGAGGTGCGGGTGGGCGGGGTGCAGGGCTCAGGCCTCAGTGTCCACCCTGGGAGGCGGCCGCGCACCCGGTGGTTCTGGTAGGCGGTCACCGCCGTGAACTGGGTCTCTGTGAACACGAAGGACTTGAAGTTCTCCTGGGCGTAGCGCTCGCTGTCCTTCCGCGGGTCCACGAAGACCACGTGGAATCGCGGCTGGTAGCGGTGCATGGAGTTGAGGATGATCTGTGGGAGGTTGGGGGGGGCTGGGCGCGGCGACCCCGGAGCCGCCTCCCTCTTTCCAGAGAGAGCCTGCAGTCCTAGGTTGCAGGGCCCTTTGTATTTCAGTGTCCTTCTTTTGGCCCACATCTGACCCCTCGAACTGCCTGCAGAACCATCCAGAAGATGACCGGTTCTCCCACCCAGCCAGCCACTGTCATCTTTCCCCTGAGTGCTTTGGGTGCCTCTGCCCATTCTCCATGCAGCAGCTCTGGCAGGACCGTCCTTTAGCTCCTGCTCCAGACCTTGAGGCTCCCACAGAGAAGGAAAGCCAGAGTCCTCTCCATGGGGGGCCTGGCCCTATACAACCAGCCCCAACCACAGGTCTCTTTTTTCACTTCCCCTCCTTGCTCCACTCTAGCCACGCAGGGAGTCCCTGGAAGGCCCCCCAAGTCACCTGACATCCTCTGGCCTCAGGGCCTTTGCATGTGCTGTCCTCTGGCCTACAACCGCCAATCTGATATGTTTAGTCTCATCCCTCCCCTACTTCCTTCAGGTCACTGTTCACGTATCACCTCTTCAGCCTCTGTCTCTGCACACTTCCTGTTTCCTTTTGCTCTTTGTCATTTATCACTATCTGTGACCTCTCCAGTGTCTGCTGGGTTCTTGGCCTCCCATCTGCCTGCATGCAGCCTCAGGACTTGAGCCTGGGGAAGGTGGGAAATCTTTGTCTCATAAAGTGTCAATCACTATGCCAGGCCTTCCACATCTCCCCCGCTCCTCTGTGGGGATAGTGTCTGGACAGTCCTTTGTGCCTTCCGGGGCCCCACCAAGTGGCCATCATGAGTGGGCAGGATGCTGGGCACCAAGCCCATAGGGTACCAAAAATGCCACCAGCCCTGGCTGTCCAGGCCTTGTCACAGTGGAGGCCCAGCCCCCGACACCTGGCTCAGTCCCTCCCCACTGCAGCCTGGACCTCACATGGCCATTGTCGTCCAGCAGGTTGTTGGTCAGCTTGAGCTTGTCAAAGGACACGATCTGACGCATCCACTGGGCGCCCTTGGCTGGTGAGTCCGGATGGAAGTGCACGCGGCCAGGCGTGGCCGGGTCAGCCTTGCCCGCCACCAGCCAGGCTGAGCTGTGGAAGGCGTACCTGGGGAGCAGGGTGAGGTGGTGAGGGAGACTGGTGGGCCCGGGGGCTATTGCTGGGCACACCTCTGCCAGCGGGGCCTCTTGGTCCTTTTGGTCCTTAGTTCTCCATGGCTGTACCTGGTTCGTTGGAGTCAAGATAACCCCTGCTGTCCTGGGCTAGACCACTGTGCCTGCCCCCAGGTTAGCCCACTGATCTGGGCTCCCCCCCGCCATCGGCCTGTTTGCCCTTTAGGTTTTTCATTTTCCCTCGTCCTGGGAATTGACCCCGGGGTGCTCTACCACTGAGCATGTTCCCAGCCCATTTTAATCTTTTATTTGGAGACAGGGTCTTGCTAAGTTGCTGAGGCTGGCCTCAAACCTGTTATCCTCCTGCCACAGCCTCCAGAGCTGATGAGATCACAGGCATGGCCGCCATGCCCAGGGCACAGGTCTGATTCCTGGCCTCAGCACCCTAGATCTGTCCTGCTCCCCGAGCTGCCCACACCTGTATCTCTTGTCGTCCAGCGGGATGAAGTCCATGAGCAGGGCGTAGTCGGCCAATGTGTCCATGCCCAGGATCTTCACCTGGAAGGTGGGGAACATCCTCCTGCGGAAAGGCGGAGCTAAGCAGCCCGACTCGACCCCATCCCTGCCCTGCCCTGCCCTGCCCTGCCGCCCATGCCCACACCTGCCCGCCTTGGTGACAATCATCTCGGTGCCCAGCTGGTTGAATTCTTCCCACAGGGGTTTCATCTCCAGCTGAACCGTCACGCTGGACACACGCGGGTTCTTGGGTCCCTGTCCAGGGGGCTCAGCCACGGTGTGGGCCTCTGCAGAGGAGCTGGTGCCAGGGCCCTGTGGAAACGGCGCCCCCAGGCGGGGCTCCCAACTGGAGCTGGTCACTGGCAGCGGGTAGGTTTCCGAGGGTGCGAGGAGGCTGAGGCCAGCAGACAGGAAGGCTGGGGAGAGAGGACAGGCATGGGCCCCAGGCGGCCTCCACCCCGGCCACGCCCCCAGGAGCCCTCCTCCTCAGGCTGCACCCACGTGCCTCTAACTCCAGCAAGGCCCCCTGCCTGCCAGGCCTGTGTTCCAGTGCCACCTGGTCAGCATCACTCGCAAAGTAAATGTTCACTTTAGATCTTTTCCCCAGAAGCTCCTGGAGAGCGGAGATAGACAGGACCCGACTTGCTCCCCAGGGCAGTGCTTTTTTTTTTTTTTTTGGTATTGGGGATTGAACCCAGGGGTGCTGAACCACTGAGTTACACCCCCAACCCTTTTTATGTTTTATTTTTAGACAGTTTCTTAAATTGCCAAGGCCAGCCTTAAACTCGGGATCAGTCCTCCTGCCTCAGCCTCCCAAGTCGCTGGGATTACAGGCACACGCCACCATGGTCAGCCTCCCCAGGGATTTTTTCTTTTAATAAACATATACATACTAGGGATTGAGCCCAGGGGCCCTTAGCCATTGAGCTACATCCCCAGCCCTTTTAATATTCTATTTTGAGAAAGGGCCTCACTAAGTTGCTCAGGGCCTTGCTAAATTGCTTTGAACTTGCGATCATCCTGCCTCAGCCTCCCGAGTTGCTGGAATTACAGACCTGCACTGTCACACGGGGTTCCCCAGGGAACTTTTAAATGACCCTGTGGCTGAGAGCTAAGGCAACTGTCTCACCTCCAGCCTTAGGTTCTGTACCTGTCACAAGGGGTTCTTAAGATCTGCCCCCAGGGCTGATGTGAGGATTGGGAGGACACACACAGGGCCTGGCACACAGTGGCCCCTTCACAAACACCCCCTGTTACACATGATGTGCACCGAGGTCGCAGGGAGCAGCTGGGGCGCTCCACCCTCTGGACACCCTGTGCCTGGTGCTGCTTAAGGAGGGCAGAGCTGAGCAAGAACCCATCCTCCATGAATTACTCAGGCCAGCCTTGAAACCCCCACAGCCCGCCTCCGGAAGCCCATGCGGAGACCTTCTGCTCTGGACCCTTTACTTTTCCCCACACACGCTATCTTTTGATCTGCAATCCTGAGTAAGCCTTGGCCAAAAGCCTTGCCACCCCTCACCACTGTCCCCGCCATTAAAATAACATGCTAATCCTAAGACACCAATTAACCCTCATTAGGAGGAAAGAAACCCAGAAAGGAACCCAGGGGTTAACAAGTAATGGTGAGCATTTGCAGAATGGAGTCCTTGTCTACAGCTGGTGAGAATACAAAATGTAAAACAAATACCAAATGATCCACTTTTGGATCTATACCCTAAAAAGTCAAAAGGAGGAACCCAAACAAAGGTATGTGCACATCCATGTTCTTAGCAGCATTTATTTACAGTAGCCAAAAGGTAGAAATGACCCAAGTTTTCTCTGACAGATGAAGGCACAAATGGAATGTGGTGTGGACATGCAATGGAATGTTACCCAACCTTAAAAGGGAAGGACAGCATGGTGCCTGACTATAATCCCTGAACTCAGGAGGCTGAGGCAGGAGGATCACAAGTTCAAGGCCAGCCTCAGCAATTTAGCATGACCTTGTCTCAAAAAATAAAAAGTGTGGGGGATGGAGCTCAGTGGGAGAGCACCGCTGGGTTCAGTTCTCAGTACAAAAAAAGGGGGGGTGGGGGGAAGACCTTCTGGCACTCGCTGCAACCTGGAGGGACTGTATGCTTCTCCTCGCGAGAGGCACCCGAGAGGTCAAATTCACAGAGACAAAAAGTTGAGCGCTGGTTGGGGGTTAGGGGCTGGGAGTGGTCTGGTGGGAGGAAGCTGGAGCTCTGCAGGGCACAGAGGGCCCCCCGGCCCTCAGCCTGGAGGGTGCAAGGGTCCCCGGAAGGGACAGGAAAATTGGATGGGCTGACGTCCCCTACCACCCAGGGCCAGGTCATCAAGGGGCCACTGCCTGTGGCTCAGCTGCTCTGCCTGGGCAGGTGGCCCCTGCAGCTGGCACTGGCCCCAAGCCCCCTCCAGGCCCACCCTGCCCACCCCAGCCACTGTGTTCCCCTCGGCTTTTCCAGGATCTCCGGGAGGGGAACGTCCCGCTCCATCTTCTGGAAGCCACACCTCTCCCAGAGGCACAGAGTGCCAGGTCTGGAAGGGAAGTTGGAGGAGTCTTGCTCCAGGTCGGGGCTGAGGTCCAGAGATGGCAAGGGACATACAGGTCACATATGAGGCTGGCATCTCCCAGAAGTGGCTTTGTGCCCCTGCCT